AACATCTACCTTTAGCTCAGGTCACGATCCCAACCCTGAGATGGGCTCCCTGCTCAGCGGGGAGCCTGTTTCTCCTTCTGCCGCTGCCACCCCACTCTCTGTCTCAAATAAATAAATAAAATCTTTAAAAATAAATAAATAGGGCGCCTGGGGGGCTCAGTTGGTTGGGCAACTGCCTTTGGCTCAGGTCATGATCCCAGGGTCCTGGGATCGAGCCCTACATCGGGCTCCCTGCTCCTTGGGGAGTCTGCTTCTCCCTCTGCCTGCTACTCCCCCTGCTTGTGCTCTCTCTCTCTGTCAAATAAAATAAATAAAATCGTAAATAAATAAATAATGTTGACCCTGATTGTCTTCAGTACTTCTTGTTTTTTTTTTAAAGGTATATTTTAGCCTTAGATATCTCTAGAATTAATTTTGCTCAAATACAGCTGAAATTTTATTTCTAAGTGTCTGTTTTCCACAACTCATTTATTGAGCTTTCCTGTACTGATATGACACATGATCTTAGATTTCAAACAAACGGAAACTTAATATATGTTTAATTTCTGGACTAACTTTTCCATCGATCTGATTGCTTATCTCTGTACCATACTGCTGCCATTGTTAGAGTTTTATAATACATTTTAGAAACCGGGAGAACAAGTTTCTCCTCCCCGCTCCCCCCTCACCCCGCCATGGGCCTTTGTTTTGTCCTTCATTTCCTAAAGTCCGTTCAGATTTTTAATGTAATTGTACTTAATTTATAGAATGATTTAGGTGACAATTATATTTTAGAAGTATCCATCTGCCTAATAACAGAATAATCTTTTTTATTTATTTGAATCTTATTTTAGGGCATAAGTAGAATTTTTAAAATATTATTTTCTTCATGTAAGTCCTACTTCTTATGGAATTTCATGAAGAGCTGTGAAGGGTCTGCAGTTTTATCCTCTGCAAGCAAATAAGTCAGCCTACTACCATGTCATGGACACGGTGGGAGGAAGGGGCTCCTAGACCAGAGGCACAGCAGGCGGTGGTGTCTTCCTGTCCCCACCTGCTTCCCTTGTCCAAGTTCCATGGAGGATGCTGTATATGCAGAGGGTCCGTGTCACAGCTGAGGAACTCTAGGCTCAGAAATTCAAATGAGAGGTCAGGCCAAGCGTCTGTGACCTTAACTGATGAAGAATGAGAGCAGTAAACCAAGGGAGAAGAAAGAGAGCATTCTGGGCAAAGGGAACTATATATGCAAAGACCCTGTGGTGGGAGGAATTGTGGCAACTATAAACACCTGGGAAAAAAGGTCACTCTGCTGACTCCATTATTTTTCTGGCTAATGGTGCTATCGAGAGCTAGCTTGTTTATTTTTCCCATTATAAATGATCTATTTGTTCTGCCGAAGTGCTTAGAGATTTTTTTCCTTTTTTCTTTTGGGTGTATCATTTTCATTAGGATTTCTTGCTGTTGTACATTCTTAAAGAACTTTTCTTAAGACACAGAGAACCTCTTCATTATGGAAGACAGCCTCTTGTATATCTTTGAGTTATTTTCCTTTACTATTAGTTTTGATCTTTTCATTAAACATCGGGTAAATTGTCATTGTCTATCTTCCATGGTTATGTTCTCCCTAAAAAAATCCCATCTGTCTTATTTCCACTGCATTCCAAGATTGGGACCCTTCCTTATTTTCAGTATTAATCTTTGCTGTGTTTACTTTTTTTTGAGGTTCATGTCTTACTTTTGGAAAGGGAGATTTTTGGGGACCCTGAGCTTTTGTCACAATTTGTCACACATTTCCAAAGTGTCTGGGTCTGTTATTAAAACCACTTTGTAAGCATTTTCCCCCAAATCTTGAAAATTATTCCAAGGAGACTTTCAGAGAATCCCCATAATTAAAATACCCTCTTCAGTTTTTAAAAGTCTCTGTCTTGTTACTTAACATTGCATTCACTTGTGTATTAAAATTGTACTGGTGTGAAAATAGCATCTTCTTGATCAGTGGATGACCTATCTCCAAGTGTCTCCCCAATTACTGTGGAGCTCTGTATGCCTCCAGTAATGGTTCATTGCTGCTCCACTAGCATGAAATCCATTAATCAGATTTAGTTTTCAGGAAAGGTCCTTCATGCCCTAAGATAAATGTACTTCCACAGAAGTGAGGACATAGAAAGTGGCACAAGTCCTGTTTTTCCCCTCACAGTAGAGAAAGAGAAGTAGAACAACAGAAAAGCCCAGTTTAAAAGATGACTATTTTTCGGGGCGCCTAAGTGGCTCAGTCAGTTAAGCGTCTGACTTCGGCTCAGGTCGTGGTCTCGGGGTTCTGGGATCGAGCCCTGTGTTGGGCTCTGTGCTCGGCGGGGAGGCTGCTTCTCCTTCTGCTCCTCCCCACCCCTTGTGCTCGCTCTCTCTCTCACTCTCTCTCAAATAAATAAAAAAAATTTAAAAAAAAGATGACTGTTTTTCTAGGAAATATTTTTTTTTTCTAACGTACTGAGAAATTTGGGGATAGTTCAGTATAATTTTGAGTGACACAAATTCCTAAGATAATATGCTAATTAATTTGTTACCCTTTCTTTACTCCCCCAAACCTATTCAACAAGAAGACGTTTGTGAGGGAGAATCTAAAATAGCAGAGAAGCACAATTCACCAGGGAAGGACTGCAGCTGAATAAATCTTCACCTGCAGGAACAAAGAGATTCAATGCCTTGTCAGGTCCTGGGTTTTCTCTGACTGACTTTTGATCTTAATGTTAGATACGTTGCTGACCTCCTCACTAGAAGCAAAGTAGAAAGGTAGAAAAACAGGTACTAGACTAGAAAAAGTCTGTTCCCCAAATATATGTAAAGATAACCAATAATGCAGAAGCCAGAACTTGATCATGAGAGTTCAGAATGGGACTCGGATCAAGTTCTGCACAGCAAAAATGTTACTGAATAAATTTTGGTGGGTTTTCGATGTTTTGTGAAGCCTCTTTTTTGAAAATGAGTGTTTGGGGTATTTGTTGGCACTGTGGAGTCCTGACACCAAGTCTAGAAAAGGAACGTAGCTTTGTTCACATCTTGATGGATTTCTCTTCATTGATCACGATTCACTGACTATAAGATGCCTTTGATAATAGCACACCTCACTGTTTCATGTACCATAAGAAAGAAAAAATGCTCCTTATGGAATTCTGATGTGCTTGTGGTGCTTTAGGGTGCATTGTGATTTCAGAGATGTTAATGAGTGATAAAACATGCATCTTAGAATCAATGAGATGTGGTATTTTTCTTATACAAAAACAGGGAAAACTGACATCCTCAACAGCTTGTCTAGCTACCTGAAATATATAACAATAAATTTATGCTTTAAAATTCTATGTACTAGGTGTGATATTTCCAAGAGCAATCAAGATTATGGAAAGAATACTGCTACTAATTCAAAGAATTAACAAAGTGAACTGACATTTGTAAAAGATGCCCCAATTTCTCCTGTCATGTTTTCAGATACCAAATATCCACTATTTGATATTTTCCTTCCTGAGCAAAGCAATGTGGTTCCTGCAGTGTTGCCCAGACCAAAAGGTAGAGACTGTAGAGACTGCTTCCATCACCTTTCCCGACTCTTTCTGCAGCCTTTTGAGCAAAAGCTTCTCATTTCCACTGTTGGCTACCACTAATGCTCAGACATACATTTTATCATTGAACGGATATCCCTCCTGCATTAGAGTCTAATGTTCTGTCCCACTTGTCACAGTCCTGAACATTCAAGGAAATCTGACCCCTGAGCTCATGACACCACTGTGTTCTCTGGGTTGGAGCCGATCAACTACCTCTTGCTGCAAGATTTCGGCAACTCTACCTGAAGGAGCTTGTTATTAGTATTTTTAATGCTACGAATATTATCGTATGTGGGGTATCTGCGTGGGGGAAAGGATGTGTCCGTAGCGAACAATTACCCGCAGTCCCACCATCTTTGCCATCGGTGGTATTTTAGCATGTCTCCTTTCACTTTTTCACCACATAAATTTTTGCAGAGCGGCGATAATTTTTATGTGCAATTCATGAGATGCTTTTTCACTCAACCTCCTGTTATTGAAATAGTTTTGTTAAAGGCTTTAACTGGTTGACTGTTTTATTCTGTAGATATATGAACTAGTCCCTTATTGCTTGTTATTTGGGCTCTATCCATTTTACTTTTTAGGACTTTATTTATTTGACAGAGAGAGACACAGCGAGAGAGGGAACACAAGCAGGGGGAGCGGGAGAGGGAGAAGCAGGCTTCCCGCCGAGCA